GAGGTTGGAGTTTAGTACAGGACAGATGCCTAGCCGTCTGCCTGCAGGCCGGTCTGTGGAAGTTACTGTTCGAAATAAAGTAGGTTGATGCAATTTTACTCAAATGCACATGGGCATATTATCGGAGGTGTTACTTTCAAAGTAGTAGAGCACATTTAAGGTACAGCCCTACCTAACTTAATTGATTATTTTCTTATTACTTTTGCAGATTTTTTCTGATATAACTCTTTGTACAAGCCTTTTATTTACAGAACTTATAATTTAAGTCTTCTACGAATGCTTGATATTTATCTGGTTCTCTATTCTATTGCAAAAAACTGTATTGTCTTCTTTATATAAAGGACGTCTTATTTTGGAATTTTTTAAACCTTCCATGGTAACACATGTTTCTGTATTGCAAAGTATTGTTTTTTAGCATATCTTTTAAAATGATTGCTATTTGAATGGAAATATGTAGTATGTGTGCCGAATATACACCTCCATACATACCCAAACGCATTTGCCATTCAAAGTATTTGCTTACGTTTTTATAACAACTTGCATTCATTTTCTCTCTCTCTCTTTTTGTTTAAGAGCATTAAATCATTTCAGTAATGCATTTAGTACCGGCTGTGAGTGTGTGTGTGGTTGGTTAAATAAATCTATTCTTAATTGGCCTGATTACTTCAAAGGGCATGTGGGATGGAGGAACAAAAGTAACAACCAAATGTACCTTTACCATTTCCTTATGCAGCTTTTCGTTTGCTTCCTTTGCTATGCATAATGCCAGCCTGCCTGCCGGCCCGTTAAAAAGAAAATGCTTTTAATTGATTTTTAAGTACATAAAAGTATAATCAGCTCTGATGCAGTTTGCTGGCGACCGTAATGCATCTAAGAAGCTTACCAACCCTCTTAGGATGCTAATTAATAAAATGTATTATTTAAGCAATTAAATGGGAGAAAATCGCACTTAAATCAGTGCAGAGAGTTTTCTCATTTTCAATGAAATGCTGTTGTAAGAAGATAGAAACAATTTTTAAGGAAAAGTTGAGAGATTTTTCTTTCTGTTTTGAAAAATAAATTATACTGATGAGATACTTATTGAGATTTGCAGTTAAATTGATACATTGCTTGGGTGGCACGTATTTATTAAGAAAATGTTGTTTAGATTCTTTTAGCAAACTTCCAAACATTTATTGGCAGTTCACCACTTTCGGCCAACCGATGCAACTCTTAACCTCTTTTGAGTCTATTTTCTTTCTGTTGCGGTATAAGTTCTTGCACCTTTTGGAATTTCAATGGCTTTACCCTGAGCTCCTTTTTTCAATATTTGCCGAATGGAATATTGCGATATGCTCACGAGCCATTTTTCGGCCCCTGCGACGAGGGTTTCGATCAATTCGCTTCTTTTCTTTTCGAACCATTTCTTCTTATGTTGCTGTTTTTATCCGTCTTCTTCCTTGACGTCGAGCTACGCTACGAGCGATGGTACGAGACACAAACGATTTATTCACATTTAAATGCTGGAGTGCTCTAACGATAGCCACTTGTGGTTTTCCAGAGAAATATAAAGAAATCACACTATCATGCTTGAAATCCATTACAAATATTTTTATACCCTCCACCATAGTATGTAGGGTATATTAAGTTTGCCATTCCGTTTGTAACACCTCGAAATACACATTTTAGACCCCACAAAGTATATATTCTTGACCTGTATAAAATTCTATGTCGATTTAGTGATGTCCGTCCTACAGTCCGTCTGTGGAAATCACTTCCGAACGAATTGAAGTAGATTAATAAAATTTTACTCAAATATATGTTATGTCTGCAGGACTTTTGGAAATGGTAGGCCCACGTTTGGGTATAGTCGACATTATTCACTGGAATTTCTTCAAATTTGATATAAGAAGTTCGTAAGGGATACTACAGCCTAAGACAGAAAATTGTCTGTGCAAGTCCACGTCTTCGTGTAGCCCCCATATTACGGTACTTCCCGATATTTGGTATTTTGATGATTTTATCGACATTATTCACCGGAATTGTTTCAAATTTCGCATTTGAAGTTTGTAATGGGAACTACAGGCAATAAAAAACTTTTTGTATGCAGGTCCACGTCTTGGTATAGCCCACATATAATGGTAACTCCCGATATTCGGTATTTTGATGATTTTAGCGACATTATTCACTGGAACTGTATTTCAAGTTCGTAATGGGTACTACAGCCTAAGACAGAAAATTTTCTGTACAGGTCCACGTCTTCGTATAGCCCCATATTCTTTTTTAAATTCGAATTTGAATATTGTAATGGCTTATGACAAAAGTTGCCTATACAGGACCACGTCGAGTTGTTGACCCTAATATAGCAGCTACATTCGGTATTTTTAATAATTCAAGAGAATTTTAAACAGATTTTATTTTTGAAAATTGTCAAATTCGTTTCAAATGGTGGAGGGTATTCAAAGTGCGGCCCGTCCGAACTTACAGCTTTTTTACTTGTTTCAAATACAAAGTATTCAATTTTTACATTTTAGTAATTTTCGTACCCCTTTAGTACGATTATCCAAAAACCCAGCTATAGCACATGCTTATGCACCAAGACTAACCCTCATGCAGAATTTCAAGATTCTTGCTTCGTCCGTTTTGTCTGGACGTTGATTCTCAGTCAGTCAATTATATCATTACTTGAAGAAGAAGTACTCGACGTATACATAGACTGTGCCTATACACCTATCTGCATAATCGACTGATTCTCTTTATCTCGTTTTTGTTAAATTTGATCTCCACCAAAATTATTGTAAAATTAGTTGTTTTAAAATGCCTAGAAAAATAGTGAATATCAAGCTTTTCGTTTGAAAATAATGGCTATGGCCTACACAGGGTTCTGAGGTATCATTCTCTTGAAAGTTCGGCTAGGTTCATCCTAGTCACAATATCAACGATTGTACCAAATTTTAGAACTGAACAAAAAATAATGCGGATACTGTCTTCATTCCAATAGACGGACATATTTAAATCGGATTATAATTTTATGTAAAAGGAAATGTCCATGTGTTATCTATGGGGTTTCCGACGAATATTTCGACCTATGGGCAACAGAAGGACATTTTATTGTGGAGAGTATAAAAATCCCATGCCTTAAGATAAGGTATCACATAGTCAGCTAAGCCAACTTTTATACTCTCCACCATAGTATTGGAGGTGGAGGGTATATTAAGTTTGTCATTCCGTTTGTAACACTTCGAAATATACACTTTTGGGATTGAAAATGGGCCATGTAGGTCCACGTCTTCGTATAGCCCCCATACAACGGTACCCCCCGATATTCAGTATTTTGATGATTTTAGCGACATTATTTACCGGAATTGTTTCAAATTTGGTATTTGAAGTTCGTAATAGATGCTACAGCATAAAACAGAAAATGTACGTCCACTTCTTCGTATAGCCCCCATATAACGGTACCTCCCGATATTCGGCATTCTGATGATTTCAGCGACATTATTTACCGAAATTGTTTCAAATTTCGCATTTGAAGTTCGTAATGGATACTACAGCCTATGACAAAAAATTGTCTGTGCAAGTCCACGTTTTACAACTCCTATGGTTCCTCCGTATATTCGGAATTTTGATGATTTTAGCTACATTATAAACGGATTTTTTTTCAAGTTTGGCATTTGAATATTATAATAGCTTGTGACAAAAGTTGCCTATGCAGGTCCACGTCGTAGTACAGACCATAATATACGGCTACATTCGGTATTTTTAAGATTTTAACAGAATTTTTAACGGATTTTATTTATTTTTTATACCCTCCACCAAAAAAAGTATGGAGGGTATATTAAGTTCGTTATTCCGTTTGTAACTCATCGAAATAATAATTTTAGACCCAACAAAGTATATATATTCTTGATCAGCGTAAAATGCTAAGACGATTTAGCCCTGTCCGTCCGTCTGTTATAATCACGCTAAAGTCTAAACGAATTAAGATAGGAAGCTAAAATTTTGCACAGACCTCTCTTTTGTCTGCAGGCAGGTCAAGTTCGAAGATGGGCTTTATCGGTCCACGATATCGTATAGCCCCCATATAACAGTACCCCCGATATTCGGTATTTTGATGATTTTATCCACATTTTTCAATGGAATTGTCCAAAAATCCACCCAAGTAGTTCCTTGTGGGTACTTTATGCCTCGGCAGAGAATTATCTAAATAGGTTCACAATATCGTATAGCCCCCATGTAACGGTACCCCCACGGAATTCGGTATTTTGACGATTTTAGCCACATTTTTCAATGGAATTGTCTGAAATTCCACAAAAGGAGTCCCTTGTGGACATTTTACCCCCTCAAAAAGAATTGTCTATATAGGTCCACGATATCGTATATCCCCCATATAACTGCACCCCCCGATATTCGGTATTTTGATGATGTTAGCCATACTTTTCAATGGAATTGTCTTAAAATCCCCACAAGTATGGGGGATATAACGGTACCCCCCGATATTCGGTATTTTTATGATTTTACTCACATTTTTCATCGGAATTGTCTGAAAATCCACACAAGGAGTTCCTTTCGGGTACTTTATACCGCGGCAGAGAATTATCTATATAGGTCCACGATATCGTATAGCTCCCATATAACGATACCCCGCGATATTCGGTATTTTGAAAATCCGCACAAGGAGTTCCTTGTGAGTACTTTACACGCAGATTGTCTTTATAGGTCCACAATATCGTATCGGCACCTTCCTATATTAGATATTTTTAAGATTTTAAAAGAATGTTTAATGGATTTTATTTTGTTGAAAATTTTCTAATTCGTTCCAAATGGTGGAGGGTATTCGAAGTTCGGCCCGGCCGAACTTACTGCTTTTTTACTTGTTTTTTTTTTTTTTGAAAATTCGAATTCGGTCGAACTTACAGCTTTATTACTTGTTTATTATTTATTTTTTTTTTTCTAAAAAAATCCCATGCCTTAAGATAAGTTATCACATAGTCAGCTTGGCTAACTTTTTATTATAATTTTTTCCTATAACTAAATTTCTTTACAAATACGAACTTAGCAGAATAATTATTAAAACTAAAATCGGAAATATTATATAGATTTCAGTACGCGGATGACAGGTTGAGATCAAATTGGTAATATCATCGTCTTCGTGTTCGATGCCATCGCGTGTGGGTACTTCGACGACAACAATTTCATGCGATAGGAAACGTATGGGAAAACTGCAACTGGTGGCATTGATGCAGGCCTGAGAATCACTCAGATTGGAATAGAGAAATGTGGGCTTGTAAATATCGAAAATGGCATGAATGTCGTTGCGAACCAAATCGTTGTCACTGTAGAAAATGTAATAATAATAACCATCCGCATCGATTTCATGGATCGACAGCATGCGATGTGACCCATTCTCCAGGAAGTGAGGATTTGTACACTCGGCAATGGGCGGGAAATCACCAAAGGACAGTTTATTTGTTTTGAAACATTCCAGCAGGCCAGTCTCAAAACTCGACACCGAATTGGATTCATCGGTTTGGGTGAAATTCATGGCATTACCGCCATGCGTATACTTCCGATCGTAGATTTGATCACGCTTGTGGCGCCGATTTTTGTATAATTTATTATAGAGTTGTTGTTTTTGGGTTTCTTTTTCCCGGTCTGATTCTGGGCTATGATCGGGAGAACTTTGCCGTGCTCTTTTTGGGGGCTTGTCACCCCTGGATTTTTGTTTTGAGAATTTGGGTGAGCCATTTTTCAGTTTCTTCCTAGGAATCCTAGTGGGAGCTGGTGTTGGTTTTGCCGTGGTTTTCCAGCTATCCATGTCCGCATCATAATCATAGTCCTCAAATAGATTTTCCCCTCCCCTATTTTCCAATTCCATTTGTTTCTCTGAAATTGGCTCGTATGGGGCACTGCCATTTAAATCTGTGGGGGATTCCTGCACGGCAATTTCTTTCATATCCTCAAAGAACACCCTTACTTGCTCATGATCCTGAGGATAATTGGCTCCATACTTATTTCGATTGTGATCGAGCAGACCACAGGTATCCAACTCTCTCGCACCCTTGACAACCAACATTCGAGCCCCCTCATAGCGAGAACAAAACTTGAGCAACACTCTCGCACCTTTCAACAAATAAAATCCCCAATATTCGAAAGTATCATCCGGCAGGGTCATGGATTTTTTTAGTCGAATATGCTTGTGATTTGTTGATATTTCCGGTTTGCTACGCAGCTGGAAGGCATTGAATTGGGTGGCCATTTTCAGGGAATGCTGTTTGCAAAATATCGATGAGATTCCATCACGTATTTCAATAATATCCGATTCGGCCACCGGATATGTGACGTCGGCAAAGACACGTCTCTTCAGATGCAGGGGTATCATGATCAAGGTGAACGGCACAATTACAATGAGTATGAAAAATACCAGAACTCTTTTGAAGCCATTTAATTTTCGGTTTTCTAGAGAAAAGTAAAATATTTTTTTTTTATTTTTTTTTTTTTTCTGAAATAAAAAAAAAATCCCAAAAATTGTTTATTTGTTTAAAACTCACCATCAAACCGATAAACTGTTGTTGTTGTGTTTTTCTCACTGACAAACCCCTGTTTCTCCATTGTTTTCATTGTTTGTTTGGTTGGCATTTTGAAAAAAAGTTAAAAAAACAAAACTAAGTTCGGGAGTCAGCTAGCGATCTTCGCCAATCCAGCACTGTATATCAAATGAATCTCAATTCATGTTTTTTTTTTTTTTTGGGTAGTGGCATTCGAAAGAAAATTTCTTCTCATTGTAAACACTGCCAACCCACCCCCAAATAAGGTTTATCTCGAAAATAACAAATTTCATATCAGTTGGCTGGCAGCCTATCAAAAGAAATAAACAACAAATTTAAGTTTTATACATTCATAGATACATGTGTACATATATGTATGTCCCTGCATATTTGTAATTGTGTTGTACGTACATACCCCTCTGGTAGCGGTCCCATTCGAAAAGTGCGTGATTGTGGCGCTGAACTGTTATTTATGTTTTCGTTCCCACAATGATTTGTTTACAGCTCCACTGTTGTGTGAATTGTGTGAAAGTACCAGAAGAAATATTTATTTGCTTAGCTTAAGACCCCTACTAATCTTCAAGACATTACCGTGTGTCACAAATTCATATTTATCACCGAAAAATTATATTTACGTTGGGTCTCACAAACTAGAAGAACAGGTGAAATGTTTCCGAATTTAAAATATGAAATTTCATTTCCTAACACCAAAACATGTCGTTTCGTGTGCAATATCTCGGAAAAATTGTTGTAATATATATTTGAAGCTCCTGATCGGCACTACCGTCTGGGACAGAAAATTACATAAGCAGATCCAGGTCTTCGTACAGTCCTCATATTACTGTACGTAAATTCATATATTAGTCATTTTGATGATTTTGCCACATTATTCATCGGAATCGTTTCAAATTTCGTATTTGAAGTTCCTAAAGTCTATGACAGAAAATTGTTCATACAGGTCCACGTCTTTGTATAGCTCCCATATAATGGTAACTCCCTATATTCGGAATTTTGATGATTTTAGCGTCATTTTTTTCACCAGAAATATTTCAAATATCGTATTTGAAGTTCGTACTAGGTACTACCGTCTGTGACAGAAAATTGCATATGCAGGTCGAAGTTTTCGTAAGGCCCCTTGATGATTTCAGCATTATTCACAAATTTTTCGTATTTGAATATAGTAATAGCCTATGACACAAATTGCATATACAGCCCACGTCGTAGTATAGGTCCCAAGTGGTAAGGGTATTGTGTCTTTGTGCATTTGTTTGTAACATGGAGAAGGAAGCGAGACAGACTCATGGTTACTTTTGAGGATCTTTATAAAATCACTTTCTGAGTCGACTTATACATATCAGTCTATCTATCCGCCCGTCCGTCTGTTTATGTACAGGGTGAGATGAAAAAACTTGAACCAATTTCAGACTGCTGTCATTTCTTAGTCACTCGTCCGACAGCTGTTAAGTTTATTCCAGTGACATATCATTATATTGTTTACAAGTGTACAAAAGCATTTTGGTGAGAATTTTCCATAATGGAATTCAAGCGTGATAGTGTGACTTCTTTATGTCAGTCCGTCCGTCCGCCTATCCATGTATTTTTGTGAACAAATGCAGGACGCGTTTATAATCGAATTGAGATGAATTTTTCCGACTAATATTTGTTTGGAAGGTTTGTTGAGAATCGGTTCAAATTTAGATATAGTCTGAATGATCTGAATTTGGCACATCCGACCGAATTCAGTCTAGCAGCAAGTGCAATAAATTTGAAGGAAATCAGTTCAGATGAAGCTATAGCTCCCATATATACAGGGTGAGATAAAAAACTGCAATGAATGAAAGCAAAGCATGTCGGAAATAGAATAAGTTTAGATTTGTTCAATTTGGTCACCTTTGGCACGAATTGTGGCCTTCAAGCGGCCAATGAAACCGTAACACGCTGACCGAATGCTGTTCTGCTGTATTTTAGCCCATTCCCGGCGAAGCGCTTGCTTGAGTTGATTGACACTTTGGTATTTTTTAGTGCCAACCTTACATTCCAAAATAATCCAGACACAATAGTCCAAAGGATTGGTATCCGGAGGTTTTGGTGGCCATTGTGCGCTGGAAAAGAAGCGAGGAACCTCATTTTGTAGCAATTCTTGGGTGGCGCGTGTTGAGTGCGATGGTGCTGAGTCCTGTTGGAATGTCCATGGTCTGCGGCCAAAATGTTTGCATTCCCAAGGCTTTAATAAACCCTCCAGAATATTTTCGCGATAAAATTCGGCATTTATTCTGATGCCACGGATACGAGCGGAGAACGACCATCGGCTGCTATGGCGGCCCACACCATCACCAAGGCCGGCGCTTGAGTTCTGGTGGCCAACCGAAGGTGCACATTTTCAGCTGACCTCTTTGGCAAGTTAACTCGATCATTTTGTTTGTTTACAAACTGCTGGACATCGGAGAAAACCAAATTCGGCAGTTCAGCATTTTCAGCCAAGCGAAGCAACTCGTTTGCTCTTTTGAGTCTATTTTCTTTCTATTGCGGTGTAAGTTCTTGCACTTTTTGAAATTTTAATGGCTTCACACCGAGCTCATTTTTCAATATATGCCGAATAGGATATTGCGATATGTTCAGCTTACAAGCCATTTTTCGGCCACTGCGACGCGGGTTTCGATCAAGTCGCATCTTTACTTTTCGAACCATTTCTGCTAATGTTAGTGTTTTCTTCCGTCCACTTTCTTGACGTCGGGCTACGCTTCCAGTGTCACGGTAATGAGCGATGGTACGAGACACAATAGATTTATTTACATTTAAATACTGGAGTGCTCTAAAGATATCCACTTGTGGTTTTCCAGCCGAATATAAAGAAATCACACTATCACATTTGAATTCCATTACGAGTGACTTTTTTTCTGGAAAATTCCCACCAAAATGCTTTTGTACGCTTGTAACGAAATGTCACTGGAATAATTTTAACCGCCGTCGGAAGAGTGGCTCAGAAGTGACAGCAGTTTAAAATTGGTTGCAGTTTTTTTATCTCACCCTGTATGTTTCATCTGATTTGGTATTTAAGTCACTCACATGCGTAAGGTGCACTCCACAACAATAATATTTGATACCGGACATCAGGTACAGCTCGAAAATACCTCTGCCAAATTTTATCGATACGGATTCAGATTTTTATATAACTTCGATTTACATCTTAATCCGATTTTACGGTTATTGTCCAAATTGATAAATTTGTTTATATTCAACTGAATTTTTTTCATGTGGTGAAACTCCGTATCTATTGGTCCAATATTTTTTTAGTTACTAAAGGTTCAAAAACTTCCGTCAAATTTGTTGCAAATCGATTCAGAGTTGGATATAGTTTCCAAATTGTGACTACTATAAAGCCATGATACTTATTGAAATAAGGTTCATAGTTGGTATGATCTACTTCACTTATATTCCCAATAAAATCTTTTCTTTTCCTTAGTGGTTATGATTTAATTTTTTTCAAAGATTGCAAATTCCTTCGTCCAAATCGTAGGGGGTATTCAAAATTCGGCCCTTCCTTACTTACTGTTTTCCCCTTGTTTTTTGATATTATCATCCATATGGCTATATAGTGTTCATATCATTTGATATTGTTAAAGCGTGCCTCATCGAAATAACGGTCTTAGACCCTAGGTCTGTGTGGACAAAATCTGTTTCAAGACATTTTGAGTCGATATATTACTGTTCGTTCGTCTGTTTGGCTGTAGCCCAAAATAACTCTCGAACGGAGATTTGGTTCAAACTTGGTATATCATGATTTAATTGTCAAACTTTCTTGTGCCTCACTCACAAAGGGTCAAAATGTTAAAAAATATCAACGCTTATAAAATCTACAATCAGAGTCCAATTTTATTGAGATTTCGCACATCCCAATAGTTCAAAAACCTGTAGGTCTAGTTGGAATGGAATTTATCGGAACACTTCTATTGGTAACTCCCTCACAACTGGTCAAAATTTTGAATAATGCTAACTCCCATAAAAATTGGAATAAACATCCGCTTCAAATTTCAAACACGTCAATATTTTTATTTACTCCAGATCTGGTGTGCAGATGATATATATATATGTATGCTTTCCTAAGAACTTCATAAATAAGTAAGCAAAGGTTAAAGTCGTGCGGGACCGACCATGTGATACCCAACAACACTATAATATTTTGGAAAACGGCCCAAGGTCCAAATAAACTTTGGTCGATTTTTTTATAATAATGCCGTACAGTCCCGCAAAAATGTTTGATCGTTGCCATTGGTCATACAGTTAGGCCTTCTTTCGTTTTGGCCACACAAAGGTTGTGGTCCATTTTACCCCCTAAATATTATCCGACAGAAATCCACAATGACCTGTTCTAAATAAACCTCATGCACAATTCCGTGTGGATTGGTCTTTATTTGTGTAAAGCGACTTAGTGAAAAAATAAAATCAGAAAAATGTATATAATTGCAAACATTTTCAAATACAGTATATTCCATCTTGGTCTTTAACCAACACCCATCAAAAAAATCCATGAGTATCGAACGATAATTGCGCCCTGTATATAAAAATTATCTCACTGGGACTAAATATATTCGCTGTTTATTGGATATTTGGAAATTGGTTCACAAAAGTTATGGTTCAAAGTGGTAGGCCTCTGTTCTGTCTAAAACTCTTATCCTATGAAGAATTCCGCGTGAATTGGTCTATAATTTTGACCTGTATAGCAACTACAAAATAAGGACATTCTTCTGATTTTGGTCCCATTCTACCACTAAATATTTAACGATCATCTCCAAAAACAAAAGGTTTTCCGACGCTAATCCAAAACACCATGCAAAATATGTTGAGGATCGGGCCTTAATTGTAACCTGTACAGATGGACATGGACGGACACATATAGCTAGATCGACTAAGGCCTGCGAGATAGGAGAATGCATATATAACATTGTAGGTCTTGGACCAATATTTCGAGATGCAACAAACTATTTGGGCCAATCAAACCTTTAACACCGCCAACACAAAGTGGTGTAGGGTATAGATATGTGAAGACGTCCAGTTCGGAAACGTTAAATCTGAAAGAAGTTTTAAAACGGTGATGTAATTTTAGAAGGTTTTCTTGAAGGTATTGACATTA